TTCATTCATTCATTCATTCATTCATTCATTCATTCATTCATTCATTCATAGACAGACAGACAGACAGACAGACTTCCCTGTTAATTTGAATGTCTAGACTAGTATGTCCCAACCTTAGCACCTTTAAGGTGTGTGGACTTCAACTCCCAGAATTCCCATCCTGGCTGGGGAATTCTGGGAGCTGAAGTCCACACATCTTAAAGTTGCTGAGGTTGGGAAACACTGCTCTAGATGCTGGTGTTCTATGTCATGGGCCCTTTGGTTTAGTTTAGTGGCTCTTTATTTTATATTAGAATATTATATTTGATTGAAAGTTACAGGATTAAGTGTTGTTTTATTCTTTGTCTTTACTGTGTTTAATAATAAGGGCATGTTATGCACACAGTCTCTCAGATAGCCACTTTATGCTTGAAGAGGCTCATAAAGAACAGCTTCTGAAGATGTTCCAAGGCTGGGTTAGATAGATAGGGAAGAAAGTTTTGCATCAGGCAGCAAGGTCCCAGACTGATAGACTATTTCATCCCTTAAAGCCAGCGCTATGAATGAAAGTGGGAAACGAATTGGAAGGCAAGACCGTAAATTCATCATGCCAATTTTCCCAATAAAACTTTCATAATAAACTTTTGCCTTAGTAGCAGCTTCCAGAATCTTGTTAAAGACAGGCTCATGGATGGTTGACATTCCAGAAAAGCTTCTCCAGATAGATTGATAGCTGGCAAAAGACATTCTTTCTGGTAGGAATAGAAGATTGGAGTCTACCAGTCCTGCTCCAAACAGTTTTGCTTCCCGTAGGCTTGAGGAATTGAACATCCTTTTGGAAACCTACACACCTGAGAAAGTGAACGTGCATCGGATGATGAGGTGAGCTGGTGTTTGCATAGCTTGGGAGACAGTCTGGCTTTATGGTGGCTGGTGGGGCAACGAGGCAGGAATCCTGCGGGTCCCATAAGTACAGTATGAGTGAATACCGATTGCAGCTGGGAGGTGATAATTGTGAAACAAAGTCTTGTTGGCAGGGACGTTTCCAAAAAAAATAAAGCCAACATTTTTGGCTACCCTCAATTGGGGCATCAGCTGGCAGAGAACTTTCTGATGGCTTCCCTCTTCACTGGGGATTTGGCTAGTATCATTAAAAAGAGTCGGAAGAGTCTAAAAAATGAATTCATTGCAGCTTTATGGGGAAAATTCATAGACAGGAATGGAATGTGGGAAGAAACTGCCTGCATGGAAGGGGACCGGCTGATCCAATGGGCCTCCCCCATGCAATTCTGCCTTGCAAAAACTTTGCATACACCTTTTATTCTTCTTGTGGTCCTGCTCCAGGGACAACTTGCAGGCCAGCCTGAGCCAAGAAGAACAAGATCTAGCCGCTTCCCGCAAGATCCTTTCGAACTACGAGATACTTGGCCCCGAATTTGAGGAATTGGTGAAAGAATACACAAGGTTGCAAGCAGTGATTGAGAACCGGCGCTGGGTGCTGACGGAATTCAACAAAGACTGAAGTGGCTGAAGTGTTTGGACAGCGGCCGTTTGCACACTGTTAGTGGATAATAGAAATGTCACGCAATAAAGCTTGGAAGACAAATAAGATAACCGCGTGTGCCTGGGCTGTTTTCGTCTTGCCAAGTATATCTCTTCCCCCTCCTGCCCTCCCACCTCGCCTCAGCACAGAAGGATTATTTGGGAACCCTTCTTTTGCTGCACTAAAACCTTCTGACGGCCAAAGATGCGGGCTCTAACCCAGTGTTTCTCTGGGAGTTGAAGTCCACACATCTTCAAGTTGCCAAGGTTGAGAAACACTGGTCTAACCTAAAATTTGTTTTATATCCATCTTCCTTGGTTAATTCAAAGATCAACAAAAAGGCTGCTTCATTAAGTCAGCATAGAGCAGCATTTCTCAACCTTGGCAGCTTTAAGATGTGTGGACTTCAACTCCCAGAATTCCCCATGCTGGCTGGGGAATTCTGGGAGTTGAAGTCCACACATCTTAAAGTTGCCAAGGTTGAGAAACGCTGGCATAGAGTATCTGCCAGCCCTTTACATTCATCCATAGTTCTTTGCTCAACAAGGATACAGAACATTTTCGGGGCCGCCATTCTACTTGGTCTGAACAACGGCTAGAAGACTCACAAGTGGGCAGGACCAGGAGAATTTTTTTTCAAATTTCATTAATTAAATTACAGCTAATACAATGTCATCTGACGCATTTGGTGGTGGCTTGTCTGCTACAGGGGGACATTTTGAGAAACCATGCTCTGGCAATAGAAAATCGGCTGTTTTTGAGTCAACTCTTTTGTCCTTAATCAGAAGCCCGTAAAATTCTCATGGAACCCTAAATTCTGGGGAACCCAGCCTGAAAAATGCACGACTGTTTTGCTATCTGTTGAATGACAGCAATCTAGCAGGCAAATAGCCTTGAAAATCCACTCTACGTGCCTTATCGATATTGACCCGTTTAATCGATAAATCAGGCTCGTTATATTTTGCAGAACTGAAGCAGCTTTCCAGAGTCAGTGGAATGAATTTCGTGAACTTGACAAAAGTCGTGTGGCTGCTTCTCTTTTTTAAAATGTGCCGATTAAAAGTTGAAACCTCTTTGCTCCTTAGTGGCGAGACTAATGTTTTGCAGTATAAATGATGCTTTCCTGCCAGCATGACTTAAATGTTAATTATTAGAGGATGGTCTCAGCCCTGACATTTGCTAATGTTTCTTAAGACAACAATCCCATTCGCTGCCTAGGAGTCCGAAAAACAAATTTGATTTGGCAAAAGGGTTTCCCCATTTAATGCAAATTTGGGGAAAATGGACTTGATGTGTAAACGTTTACAAAGCTGGTTATTTTGTAAGAAGTGCAATTCCATTAGTGGGGCTATCTGTCGGGCTAGTAGCAATCAAAACAGTGTATCAATGTATTTTCTTATTGTTTACTGTCAGTATATCCCATACACAGAATTGCATCATTACGAGCAACTCTTGATATAAATTCTGCATCCGTTAAATTCTTTATTTATTACGAAGGGGTGACTTCCCCCTTCTTTGACAATTAGGTAGGTGAAAGCTGCGTAATATTCTATGAAGTGTTGCTATGTCCTAATTAGATTTCTTAAAATGCAAAATTGTTTCAGAAAAACACGAGTCTGAACCGAGCCAGCCAGGAGTCGAACCTAGAATCTTCTGATCCGTAGTCAGACGCGTTATCCATTGCGCCACTGGCCCTCAGACATAGTGGGCTGTTTGCAGCGCCTTCCTTATATAGCATTCTAGAGGGAGCCCGCGTTCTTGACAACTCCGTTGGGCCTTATTGGTATCGTGATGCATCTTGGGAATTATATTTCTGGCGGCTTTCAAGGGGGTTAGGCGAGCAATGCACTGTGGTCTATGTAGTCCCAATGGAAACGGAAAGGCAGAAAGAGCTTTTCCAGCCGGGGGAACCCGAACCGTTCTCTTTCCAGAGGCATGACGGGAAATGGCTTTTTTCCCTTTAGGTTCCCTCCTCAAGATAGGAAGCACCGCCCCTCGGCCGCCCCCAGCGTCGATTCTGATTGGCTCCACTTGGACTACGATGGATCCTCCCCTTCGAGGTCCCGGGGAAGGCGTCCCGTGATTGGCGGCTTCGTCTGAGGAAGGGAGGGGGCGTGGCTAGCCGGCTCTCGGATCCCTGTGCGGCGTGCCATGGCGGCGACTACAGCGGC